TAGTACTTCAAAACCGACGAGGTCTGGACTTGTTGTTCCTCCAAAAAGGGGGACTATGCGTTGCTCTAGGGGAAGAATGTTGTTTTTACGCTGACCATACCGGAGTTGTTCGTGACTCCATGTCTAAACTCGAAAGAGCCTGGAACAAAGAAAACGAGAAAAAGAGGCAGGGGAAAGCTGGTTCGAGTCTTGGTTTAACCAGTCCCCATGGTTGGCTACCCTTTTATCTGCACTGGCAGGGCCAATAATAATCATCCTACTGCTTGTTACCATAGGACCCTGGATTCTAAACCGACTTATGACTTTTGTCAAAAGTCGAATTAATACTATCCAACTTCTGGTCCTCCGCCAACAATATCAGGCTCTTCATCCTCTCGAGGATGATTCCTCAATTTAGGCCATAAGAAAGGGGGGAATGAAAGGAATATGAGGTCTCAGCGGGCCCCAACCCCCTTGTTGGAGAAACCAGTACCAAACATCCCATGTAGATAAGATAAGCAATGAGGCAGGGCTCAGTTAGGGCATATAGAATGTGAGGAATGCAAGATGTGAGATACGAGCAAGATGTGAGATGAGCAAGGATGTGAGATACGAGCAAGATGTGAGGTACGAGCAAGATGTGAAGTACGTGCAGGATGTGCTCTGCCTGCTTGTCTAATGTTGATAACAAAAATATGCACGCCACTGCAGTCTATATAAGATTTCCCCCTAAGAGGCTCAGGGTCTTGCTTTCCTAACCGGTCCTGCGTGTCCGTGTGGGAGCTCGACCCTGGCTAGCCAGTCCAATAAACTCTGCTTTGTTGATTGCATTCACGCCTGGCTCTCTGTCTCTCGGGGGAATAGGATTCCGGGTCCTAACAATAAGAATTTTTCTAAGGCCCCTTCATCAAAAACGCAGGAAAATTAATATAGACGTACCCAGTCAGCAATGGGATGGCACATTCAAGCCTATCTCAACCCTTTACCACGCAACAAGGGGAAGTGCAGCTTTAGATATACCTAGCTCTCAAAATACATATTTACAGCCCGCATTAGGTAGATATAAATTACATACTGGTATTTGTGGACCTTTAACGGAAAAAACAATAGGGTTAGTTTTAGGTAGAAGTAGCATGACAATGGCAGGATTAACTGTTTTCCCTGGAATTATTGATTCTTATTATAATGGAGAAATTTTAATTATGGCACAAGTAGACAAACCTTTGCAAATCTTAAAAGATCAGAGCATTGCTCAACTTTTAATTTTACCATATGTTAAAGGGAGGACCTTAAATACTGCTAGAAACGGAGGGTTTGGTAGTACTGGGAAAAATGTTTATTTAAAAATGCTTTTAGATTCCAATCGTCCTCAAATAATGTTGCTTATTAATGATATATATTTTCAAGGTCTTTTAGATACTGGTGCAGATGTACCCATCATATCTTTAGATCAGTGGCCAAGTCAATGGCCTATGACCAAAATTAAAGGAACCTTTTCTGGCACTGGTCAAATTACAGATATATGGTAAAATACTGAAGTAAAATTATGTATTGGTCCTAAAGGACAGAAAGGAAAAATAAAACCATATATTGCAGACATAGGAATAAATTTTATGAGGAAGAGATCTATTAGCAGAATGGGGTGCTTCTCTTAATATCCTTACTTTAAATTCTTCAGTGAAAAATATGATGGCTAGAATGGGATATAATAATAAAAAAGGGTTAGGAAAAAATAAACAAGGTGTTATACAAGCTTTACAAATTAAAGGGAAACAAGATAAAATAGGCCTTGGGTATCCAAATTTATAGGAAGGGCCACTGCTCAGTATATACTTCCTTTAACCTGGCTCCAAGAAAAACCTGTATGGACTGAGCAGTGGCCACTAACAAAAGAAAAATTAAAAGCATTAGAAGAATTAGTATATGAACAATTAACAAAGAATCATATTGAACCTTCTACAAGTCCTTGGAATTCTCCTGTATTTGTGATTAAAAAGAAATCAGGAAAATGGAGAATGTTGACAGATTTAGGAAATATAAGTAAGATTATTCAACCCATGGGCCCTTTACAACCAGGCTTACCTCAGCCTGCTATGGTTCCAGCATCATGGAAACTTAAAATTATAGATTTAAAGGATTGTTTCTTTACTATACACCTTAACCTAAAGATAGAGAAAAATTTTCCTTTTCCATTCTTTCTATTAATAATCAAGAACCAATGAAGCGATATCAATGGACAGTATTACCACAAGGAGTGCTGTGTCACCATTTTGTTAATCAACCTTTGAGTAAATTGAGAACAATGTTCCCTACTGCTATTATTATTCATTATATGGATGATATTTTATTTGCTATGGAGACACAAGAACAAGTTAATAAACTATTTGCATCTGCTCAAAAAATTTTACCACAATATGGTTTAGAGATTACATCAGAGAAAGTACAGAAAGAAGAACCTTATATGTATTTAGGATATATTTTAGAAAGGACTCATGTTAAACCACAAAAAATTTCTACACGGAGAGATACATTAAAAACTTTAAATGATTTCCAAAAATTACTAGGAGATATAAATTGGTTACAACCTTCTCCGGGAATTCCTAATTATGCTTTACAACATTTGTTTGACATTTTAAAAGGAGATTCTGGTATTTCCAGCCCACGAGTATTAAGTAGTCAGGCCAAAAAAGAATTACAGGTCTTAGAACAATATATTCAACAAGACTATATTGATCATATAGATCTTTCCTTTCTTTTCAATTAATCATTAACCCTACTTGTCCAAATTAGTTTAATGATTCCTCTTTACTTGGCATTAAAATGAGACATGAGAAAACAACAGACCAATGTTTCTTATGAATACAGACCTATAAATCCTCTACAAAATACTAGTATACATTACCCAGTAAAATACAAAAAAGGATTATACACTACGATCAAGTGGGATTTGTGGGGTTTGTCATGAAAACACAAAGTTGGTTTATGATTTATATACTAACAATACTATACCATATAAATGAAAAAGGTCAATAACCACAAGATTATTTCAAAACACAAAGCAAAAGCACTTGACACAATCTTGATAAAACAACCAACAAACTAGGAATGTAAGTAAACTTCCTTGGACCTGAAAAAATCAGATGCCTTTTACCTATGAAAAGCCCACAGTTAACATGTACTAAATAATAAAAGGTGAAAGGATTTCCCTTGAAAATCAAGAACAAGACAAGAATGTCCCCTTTTACTTACAAAACAGTCTAGCTGAGGAAAAAAAAGGAAAAGACCATCCAGGATTATGGAAAAGAAGTATTTGAAGTTGACAGCCCTTATATATGGAAAACCTTAAAGCATCCATTGAAACACTATTAAAACTAACAAAAGAATGCAGTGCATAGTAATGAATGCCTGCAATCCCAGCACTTGGGAGGTACAGGCAGGAGAATCAGGCCAGCTACATTGTGAGAAACAATAAAAAGCCACAATGAAAGAGTTCAGGGTGCAAGATCAATAACAATGAGCAAGGCATAAATTATGAAAAAAAAAGTCTATTTACAATAAAATCAAAAAGAGTAAAATATCAAATAACTTTAATCAAGGAGGTACAGAGCTTACAGTCTGAAAATCACAAAATAATGCTGAAAGAAATTAAAAACAGCCAGATAAATGGAAAGACATCACATGTCCACACGCTAACTTCATATTGTTAAAATGACAAAGCTTCATTGAAAATCTTTTATTGAAGGACACAAAGTCAAGACAGAGAAATGACAACCTACAAATAAGAGAAATTATTGGCAAATGATACAATGCCTAATTAGGGACTGGTCACAGAATATGCAAAGAATTCTTAAAACTCAACAATAAAAGGGCTAATAACACAATTACATAATACATTAAACTTGCATCCTGCAAATCCCAATGCTGATTTACTCAAAGAGTTTGTGCTTTAAAAAGGAGCTGCTTTTTAAAGCACAAACTCTTCTAGGCACAACGGTTTCAGGTAAGAAATACACTGTCATTTCCTACAGGTAAGGTCTTGCTTGAATTTAGTGATGATTAAGAATTATGACTTAATCATCAGTGTCCTTGGCATCAATTTACTAGTTCAGATTCTGGAATGTGTACTTTTGTCTTTTGCTAAGTCTGGTAATTTTTCAGGCATTATTTCCTCATATACTTTAAATACCTCTCTCCTCTTATCTGGTACTCTGATGTTCCAAATGTTAGTTCTTTTTTTTAATTGCCCCTCTTCTAAATGTTGAGAGAACCAAACTTCTCCTTAATGCCTTGCCTCCAATTTAGTGTAAGCCACCATAATTATTCATAAGGAGAAATATAGCAGTCTTTTAGTGAACCACCTGTGCCCTTATGTCCACCCCAGTATTTTTTCTGCATAGTTGAGCGATCTTAAGCAAATATATATAATAAAGTTACTTAACAAAGTTTGTGGTACTCTTGTCTTCTGTGACATCATTAGCTGTTCTTCTTCCCATTATCCACTATCCTTCATCCATTGTGACTTTTTGTTGTTCCTCAAAAATACCAAAACATTTCTATCCACAGGCTTACCTCTCACAATCATTTCATTCAAACTTCTGCTCTAATGCTGGTCTCGCAAAGAGTTCCCCTGCCAGTTTTTCATAAATACACTCAATCCATCTAGACTTGCATTCATTTCTTTGATAGTGGTCACCATGATGAGCATTTACTATATACTACATATTCATGTTTTAGCGCAATTTATATAAACTCATGTACACTTGGTATTTTTTTCCATTGCTATGTCTTCAGCTCTTAAAGAACAACTAGCACATAACAAGAACTCAAAATTATTTAGCATCAAAAGCAATGAAAGAATGCCAACAAAAGGCATATAGGACAATGGAAGTAAAGTTGGCAACTGAGAAATCAGAGTAATAAAGAAAAGCAATAGCAAAACTGAGACAGGCAAAGTCTGCACTACTGGCAGATAAAAGAATGGAAAATACTTCAAAATGAGTCAAAAGTATTTGAGAGTGGTTTGTGGAGGTTTAACTTAGGGATCAGTAAGAAGGAAATCATTTAAAAAGGTATTTTTGAAAAACATTTTGAGACTGCCAACCCCTGAATTAAGTATAGTTAATAATAAATCTGATGTTGATTTGTGCAGTATGGATTAACTCACCTGCAAAGCTCTGGCTTGGGAATTCTTCCTCCAACAACCATGGCTCCTCTCCTTGCTCCAGCCTGAAGATCACCTCTGGCTTAGTCACACAATACCCTGTTAACAGAAATAATTAAGGACATGGGCCAACAGCCTAGATGTCATGGTCTATGATGGAGGGGGAAGTATGTAGCTACTGGAATATCCCAACAGAGAAATGAACATAAATATCTTCTAATGTCCAAATTCCAAATATCATTAAATGTAGAGTGACCACAAGCTTCAAATTACACAGCAAACAGCCTTACCAACTGAAACGAGATGGCTGTAGTTCTCCAGTGTAACATCCCTGTACAGGGACCGTTGGCCAGGATTCAGGTGCTTCCATTCCTCCTGGGTGAAGCCCACAATCACATCCTTAAATGACACTGATCCCTGGAATTTCTGTTCAGCCTGAAATGTTCACAATTAGGTGACACAGAAAATGATGGGTGGGATGATTCCTTACTGAGATTATTGCTTGGAGATTACAAAATTGTTTACAGAATATTTGTTTAATTTATACTTCAGAGAGAAAAGCTAAATAATAACAGAAATATACTGCCATTACATTAATGTATTAATTCATTCAAAAATGAATTAATGTACCTGGAACTATTTTAGTTGTTGGAAGTATGAAATTTAATAAAAATCCTCTTGTACTTATGGACCATAAAACCTAATAAGAAGATACAATATACCTGTATATGTTGCAAGAGCTAAAGTGAAAGTATATACAAGATAGCTAATGCTGAAGTAACGAGCAAAATTAGTTCAACTTTGGGCTTCACTGAGGAAGGACAGTGGTGACGAAAGAGCAGTGCTGTGTTCTGACAAGCACAGTGCCATGGCGCAAGCAAAGGCAGGGAGTTTCTAACATTCAAGAAATCAGACATGAAGATATAGCCTGACGCTGTCACAAGATAAAAGACCATGGAAGTATTCAGGAAACTGGTTGTGGAGTAATTTTCAGATCAATAGTCTCCAAAATATTTGGTCATTTATCATTTTCAGGAATATTTTTGCTCACTACAGACTTGCACTTACACATTATAGGAGCAAATTGCCAATGTGGTTATTATAAATTTCAATGTAATTCTCACTTAGGTTTAAAAAGATAGAAAGACAGCTTATCATATTATTTCATTGCAATATGTATCGTATGCTCTAATTCTTCAATTCATAGACAATAACTAGGATGTGTAGAAGATGGGAAGACTTTGGAACTGCTGTGATTGGAACATCTGTAGAGAACATAGGAGAATATACAACTGAACTATTTTGGATATCCTCTCAGGTGCATGCCTCGATTTCAGGGGTCACTGCTGTGGAAAGGGAAAGTCAAAGAAGTATGAACATGAATCATATGGCCTGGTTTTAATTCTCACAGAAAAAGCCTCTTAAAAAAGGCAGGGGACAAAAAAGTACAAAACACCACCACTAACAGAACCTACTGTAGTAGAACTGGGATGCTAAAGGATAGTGACAACAGAGAGAACAAGATGTCACTAATTCATTGGGCAGAAAGGAAATGTTTCCTCAGACAATCTACATGAATAGCTGCAGATACCAGACAAAGCATGGCATTTTAGCACGATAGGTCTTATCTATACTAAATGGGAAGCAGAACACTGGAGGATTAGAGTAAAAATAGGCTTTGATGGATAGTTTGGTAAAGGCGATTCATCAAGAGTTAATCAGAGGCTTTCAGAGGATTGAGAGGAGAAAATACTCAAGAATGAAATATGAAGGAAAATCACTTTGTACCTAGTTTATAGAGAAAGAACAGGCTATGAAGGACCATGAGGAAATTTTTTTAAAAACTAAGAAATGCCATGTGATCATATCAGTAGATGCAGAAAAATATGATTAAGACAAACCCTGACAAGCTAGCAATAGAAAGAATTTTCTCAACATAGTAACAGATTTCCATAAACACCTACAAACAAACACCACATTTAATTTTGAAATATGGAAAGTGTTTAACTTTAAAACTAGTACCAATAAGGACGCCTGATAGTCCCAATTTTACTGAACATTTTTCTAAAGTTTGTAGAGCAATAAGGTAAAACAATCTTATACACAGAAAAGTCCAAATAAAAGTACAGATTTAGGAAATGGCTACAAGCTTCATAATAAACCTTAGGTATTTCTTTCTACCAGCAGAAGCAGAAAATTAATTTTAAAAATACAGTTAACAATAGCATGAAAAATAAGAAAATAGTTACAAAGGGAATTACAAAATATAATGAAAGAAACTAAAGAGGAACAATATAACAGATTTACAGATGGGAAAGATCATTATCAGAAAAATATCAATTCTCCCCATGCTGTTACATAGATTCAAAGCAAACAAATATACAGCAAATACTTTGGTGGAGATTAGATAAACTGATTCTACGTTGTGAAAGCAAGGGCTTTCAATAGACAAGGCAATCTTGAAGAAAATCTAAGCCTGAAGAAATGTTCTCATATATCAAGTATTATCATGGCAGGATTTTTCAAATGTATAAGTGAAACAGAATAGAGCTACAAAAAACAGACCCACACATGTATGGTCATTTGATTCATCACAACAGTGACAGAATAACAATCATTTTAATAAATGATACACTGAAATTATAATATGTATTTATTTCTATCTTTTGGAACAGCAGATACCCATCTTAGGGTAGCTCTAACTTTAAAAAGTTAAAGCAGCAAGAAATTTACCTCATAACATGTAAAGACTTGTTAAATAAGACATGTTATATTAACCATACTATATTAAGAACCCATCTTTACCAAAAGAAGGAATAAAGATGCAACCCACCCAATGTGAAAAAGGTATCTCGGAATATATCTATCTGACACAGAACTCTTATCCCTAGCACAGAAAGAAATTTATCTCTGGCATAGAAATTATTCAATTTATTCCTAGCATAGAAAGAATTCATGGGGGCAAATGTAGTAGTTCACATCTATAATCCCAGCAGCCAGAAGGCTAAGGCAGGAGGGTCAAAAATGCAGAGCCAGCGTGAGCTATGCAGAGCTCCAAGCCAACCTGGACTACATAGTGAGATCCTATCTCAAATTAATAAGAAAAAAAAGGAGGTTGTATCGACTACAAAGCATAAAGGAAACATTTCAACAGAAACTGTGGAAGTCAGAAACACTGGGCAAAAATTCAACCTGTAATTTATAAATGAGAAAATCAAATAGAAACATTTTGAAGCTAAATAGAAAATTACTACAAAAAACTAAATTGTATAAAAATATTCTTCTAATGAGTATTTTCCTAATAAATATTGATAAAAGTGTAACAATGCACACAGACAACAAGACATTTTCTAATTCTTCAGGCTGAAGGAAAACAATAGTTGATGAAAGCACAAAAGGGTACGAAAGAGTGCACACCTGAAGAGGAAATTGATTGCAAGCACAGTAATGCCCTTTGGAGTCTCTGACACCTAAAAGTAAAAGCACAAGATGGAGACAAATGAAGTTAAACTATTCTAAGATTCTTGCATTGTTTGTGATGCAATTAATTACTAATTTAAGACAGACAAAAAATTAAGAATGCATATTGTAATATTTGGAGTGAATACTAAAAAATACAAAATGGCAAACTAAAAAACTACTTGATAAAAAAGAAAATAATGAATAAATTGTATTTTCATGAAGCAAAATACAGGTAGCACAAGACAGAAGCAACTACTGGTGCGAAAGCAGCACAAATGAATCCAATGTAATATTAAAAGAAAGAAGACTGATATCAAAAGTACCCATGCTGATCTACACAACTAATTTTCAGTAACAGGCAATGTCAATCAACAATGCTGAAAGAGAGTCCACCTTAGAAGAAAGGAGGCTGGTGTTAGAGATGAGAAAGGGCAGGAAGTAACCTTGAGGAGTGGTGGAAATGTTCAGTATCTTGATCTTGTTGATGACTATTAGGATGCACTTACGTGTTTTACACCACACACACACACACACACACACACACACACACACACATACACACACACACACAGGGCAGAACACAGACATATTGAAAGCACTTTACACTTTACCATATGCATGCTATACCTCAGCAGGAAAACTGAATCCAAAATCGGAGGAAGACAGCACACATGAATAATGAATGAACACATGATATCAACAATATCCAGCTCCTGGTAAATCCACAGCCAGCAGCTGCAGGAGTTTACAAGAGTGTAATTGACAGTTTTTGAAAGAAATAAAGTTTGAAGCTAATACTTTAAGTTGCCAATAAACAGCATGAAAATAAAATCTTTCCATCCATTGATGCAGCGACACTTCTTGGGTAGCAAGGCTGAGGTTCCTTAACTGTCTAAAGTATTTAAAGAATACACTGATAAGAAAACAGGTTTATGAAGAGCTGAGGTAAACCAACACGATGATACCTCCCTGAGTAATTCTCAACAGCAGTAGGCCCCACAGACCAACATAACAACTTGAAGGAAACTTCAAATATCTTTTCTAGCAAGTAGTTTTCACATTTTGAGTACCAACTTGGGAGTTCTTCTTCATCCAGAAAAAGAGGGAACTGCCCACAGACTCAGACTGAAGAGATCTCAAGTTTGTCAACTGTCAAACTACATACTTATGTTTTTACCCAATTATTCCATATACATAACCAATATAAACACGTTAGGTTAGATAGTAAGTACCAAAACTAAAGCAGTCAAAGTACTGTATTAGCTATTTTAAAAACTAACATCAGATTTAGCTCAAACTTTGAACTCACAAATCAAGACAGACATATTCAATTCCAAGTAATGTCTCCTGTAGTAGTTTTAATTTTTATCAAAACCATTAAAAAATGTATTAAAAATATTCTTGCTGGACTGGGAGTGTGGCTCAAGTGCTAGAGTACCTGCCTAGCAAGTGCAAAGGCCCTGAATTCAAACCGCAGTAGTAACAAAAAAATTTATGCTGAGCACGGTGGGGTGCACCTATGGTTTCAGCTACTGAGGAGGCCGAGGCACGAAAATTGATAATAAACTATCCATTAAACAAACATCTGAAACAAATGATTCTGAACTACCATAATGAGACTGAGCAGTTTAGGAGTGACATGGAATATAAAGCTATCCTTAATGTTTTCTAGGTTGGATGGAAGAGAAGCAATAGTTAATCAAAAGGTCTTGATGAGGGGCTGAGGACATGGCTCAAACTGTAAAGTGCCTGCCTAGCAAGTGCAAGGCCCTGAGTTCAAACCTCACTACTCCGTTTTTTAAAAAATCTTGGTAAGACACTATTTAACATAGATATGGGGATGTAGTTCAGTGGTACAGCACTTGCCTAGCATGTACAAGGTCCTGATTTCAATTCCCAGCACTGCAAAATATAAAAACAATTTAAAAAATTCAGTGAGGAATAAAGAAATGCAGATTCAAATGTAACCATTA